CAGCGGTAATACAGCACACCGTCTTTAGCGGTAATACAGCACACCGTCTTTAGCGGTAATACAGCACACCGTCTTTAGCGGTAATACAGCACACCGTCTGAAGCCATACAACCTCTTTAGACTGCTTTGGTTTTCAGGGGGGCGGATGAGGCCAACCGGGGGGGAGGGAATGATGGTAGTGCTGGCTAGGCTTGACTAGTATTACGGTAATACTGTGGTATTCTCAATACCATATATCATGTTATAATGTCTGGACAGTTTCGCGGGGGCTGGTGCAGGCAGTACAATCTGCTGACTGGGACTAGAGGACGGCATTAATATTTGCCTACCTGAATGACCGGAACTTCATATTTCTGGGACATTGTATCCTCATTGTGTTGCTGTCAATTTGTGGCAGATTAAATTCTGTGTTCTGTATTCTTCATCTGTGTTAGATGACTCCTTCAAACCAGTATTTATTAAACTAAAGCTTCTTCCTTATATGTGTACTGTTACTTGCATTTTCTAAGGTGCTTCAGTTGCCCTTCACTAAGCTGTTCTCAGACATTTTTCAAAAAACAATGGCCGTTAGATGATTTAAATCGGGCTTAACGTACCATTTTATCTTCAGCACAGTACGACGAGTCCAGTGGTCACATGGGTGCGTGTAACTTTGACACAATGTTGACCTTTTGTGTAATGATGTGTCCAGCTCTTTAATTCACTACATAATCTGCTGCCTGGTGCAGTATCACACTCAGGCTTCTGTTTTAGAGTGACCGTTCTGCAAAACTACACACATTAAGCCATTTAGGGCTTTAACATATCACAGCCACTGACACCTTCCGGTTTGGTTTGTGTCCCGGAAGCCCGCTGGCATTTCCTGTATCTGCTTACCCATATTCCACTATTTTGGCCCTTGTTTGTTAATTTGGCAGAAGTGCTGATTGTCGTATCTTTCTTTTTTCCAGCCATGCACAGAAGTTTTGTTCCTGGATGTCTTCCACAGCTACAGTCAGACACTTACCCCTGTGTTGCTGGAGATGGTTCAGAATCTGCAAGGTATGTTGTGACATCATTACAAGGCCACGTATCACACAGTATTTCTTCAAATGTTTAAACAACTTTATTGTGGTATCTTCTCAGTCTGCTAGCCTTAATCCTCATGTTTTTATCCATCTGTTTTATTGCATAAATATAAACCTACCAGAAAATGTTTCAGCCTTAAATATAATTTAGGAATGTGAAGTAGGCAAAATTAACCAATTTACATTTTAATTTGTTTACATTCATTTATTTAGCCGATGCTTTTTGACTAAATGGATGTAAATGTTATGCTAATTTCACCCACTCCACAGTCCTGAATTATATTTATGGCTAAAATAGTTTCTGCGAGCTTGAAAAACATCGCTATCTGTATTTGATTCTCATAAAACTATTTTCATGGTACCATGATACGGTAATACCTACAACCTAGAATACATTAGTAATACCCCCAACAGGTGATGTGTCTTTCAAGAAAAATCACCTTTAAGTACTTGACGCGGATGTGTACAATGGGGCAGTTTAATAATTGTCTGGTCGTTTTATTGCTCTGTTTAAAATCTCATTATCTTGCTGTCGTTCTGCTTTTTACTGTCATTGCACTCATCTGTCTGGCTTATCGAACTACTCTGCCAAACTCTTGGTGAAAAATATGACCTTCCCTTAAAATCAGATTATGATTTTACCACTATTGCAGTGTAAAAACCTGAGGTTTGAAGGCCAGGGCTGTACGTATCGTGTTGTGTCTCTCTGGTAATTCCTGTAGTTTGTTCATCCTTCCCTGTGTTACTGCTTGTTTATTTGTTTGCATAGAATCATTCTCTCTTTGTCTCACCCAAATGAGCCATGGACTAATTCCCATTGATTGTCTTTTGTCTTGTAAATGAAGCCTTAAAAACACAGTCAGCTCTGCTTCAGTTCTCGTTTGCCTTTCCAAGATCTCTTATTTACATGAAGGTGTGTAAGGGTGCTGCGGGACCTGCTCATTCCTGGCGATCATTAGGATTTTGGAAGCGCTTGGAGAAACTATACAGGATTCTGGGGGTGGCAGTTTTGGTTTTGTAAATTCATTTTCTTTGCTATTTGGCCAAACACTCCTAAATAATTTTCATTTTCTGTTAATGCTGCAATACACACACACACACACACACACACATGCACACACACACAGTCGTGTAATCATATCTTTATGGGGACTCCTCATTCATTTCTGTGGGAAAAATGCTAATGCTAACTATGACAACTTTAACTCCTACCCTGCCCTAACCATAACCATAAGTAACCAGGCAAAATACAAGAGTATTTGCATTTTTAGTTTTTTCATTGCAGTTCACGGATTTTTATGAAATAGTTTTCCCTTATGGGACCCATAAGATAAGATAAAAAAAAAAAAAAAAAAAAGGTATTCATCACGTTGTAGGGACATTTGGTCCCCACGAGGTAAGGTATACCTGGACCACACACACACCATAAGGAACAAAAAAAAAAAAACAAGTGCTTTGGCATTTTTAGATGCTTGATTGGATTCACAGATTTTATAAAATTCATTTTCCCCCTGTGAGGACTGGAAAAATGGGCCCCACAACGTCAAATAACAGGATTTTATGACGTGTAATGTATTCCTGGACCACACACACACACACACACACACACACACACACACACACACACAGAATCAGGGGGTCTTGAGTGTGTACGGACTGCACTCCCGCCAGGAGTCGTTTGCTGAATACTGAGTATGTTGCCCCCAGGTTTATCTTGGTGCTTTATGTAGGCCTGTATCTCAACTTTGTTAGCCTTGTTATTTTGTTTCCTTTTTGCCTATGTAATTGTTGGTAGTTGTCATTGTAATCGTGTTGTCGGAATTACATGTGTTCCTGTATTGGAATACGGGGAAGTATAAACCACAAAGTGGTTTGTGTCTGACTGAATGGGGGAAATTAGTCACTTTCCATCTAGAGAATGTTTTGCCAAACTTTAGACCGCCTGCAATGGAGATGTGTCTATACAAAGGCATGCTGGGTAATCATTTGAAGCTGAATTGCAGTCCCTTTACAGTTGTGGGGGTCTCTGCCAGCCTCCAGCAGAGTCCAGCTTACGGGACTCGGTCTGCATCAGAAAGAGGCTGCCTTTTATTTCTCCGATACTCATTTCTTTTCAGCTCGCTCTGTCTGTGAGTGATTGACGGATGTAAGAGGGAATGCAGGGCGTCGTTCGGTGCTGGGCAGGAGGAATTAGGACATGGCGGCGAGAAATTGCAATAAACTTCTGCCATGAATATGAGGCGCTTTCTGTCTTTTTTTCCAGGACCCACGAGCATCGAAGAGCCAGTGCGACTCCTCATCAAGGATGCCGGTACTCACCAGCCCGCCCTTGCTCCACTGCCGCTCTCCTCCCTGTGTAACAAGGCGTGGTATTAACATAATCCATTTACACCCCCCCTCATTCTACACCAGGGAAGCCGTAGAGAATTAGCAGGAGACGTCCGAATGTTTTCCTTTCACGTTTTTTAATCATCCCACTGGCTAATGTAATAATTTTTTTTTGTCTTTTTGCGGTCATAGTTCATGGCATCTGATTATAAATAGCTCATTCTCTCGGCAAGTCGATATTTAAGGCGGGTCGTTTAACAATCTCCTGTTCGGGGAAAATGAAACCTTTAAAGCGTTGCAGTATGTATGAGTAGGATCTCTTCAGGCTGTAGAGGCAAATTCATTGAATTTCATGGCTATTGTGGCCTTTGGATCGGGGGACATTGCTCCGTGGATAAGTCGCTTCGCACACCGGTGGGATTTGTGTGACCAAGCCGTGAAGTTTAGGGTCATTTATAAGATCTCAGTCTTATTAGACTAAGGAAGCATGTCTCCAATTAATGTTTGAATTGTAACACTTCACTTGCCCTGGAGGAAAATTCAAAGGCACATATTTATCTATGGTTTAGAGTTATATTATTGGATGTAGATGGAAAAGGATTGTTGTTAGCACAGTTGTTAGTCCTATACTTGCATTTAGTCAGTAACAAACATGAAATTAGGAAAATATATTTGAGGTTTTTATCTGCTTATTGACGTGGTTGGTGTGTGTTACTACTAGAGCAGTGTTTCTCAACCTCGGTGACCCCCCAGGCAAAATGTGGACTGTCTGGCATGGAGCTGGGCTGGCTGTGGGCCCCACAAGATCAGACTGAGAAACACTGTACTAGAGGCTACTCACGGCTGTCATCTCCTCCTCTCTTATGACAGTGTACAACGCCGTTGGACTCGCCGCCTACGAGCTGTTTGACAATGTGGACTTTGACTTGTGGTTCAAGAATCACCTTCTGGCTGAGCTGCAAGTCAGCCATCACAGGTACTGAGACGCCCCTCCCAGCTACCCAGCCGTCGTTGGGCTCTGCACTGAAGCCTTTGTGCTGCTATCATCACAGCCGTCTTCTGTAAGCGCTTATCAGGCATGGCGTTACAATGAGCCTGCAGCCTATTCCAGCAGTCACAGGCCACGAGAGCAAAAATCGGCTGTCCGGGTCCCAGCCAATCAGCACCATAGCTAACACTACGTAACTGCCCTGAAATCCACACCGCTTCTCCATCCTTACTTCCCATTAACTTGCAGATAGTAACCTGATCTGAGCAGCTTTTTCCGTTAACCTGTTAACTTGACCAGGATGGAGAGTGATGGGTGACCAGTTAGTGATTCTATCTTGGGCTGGGCTCCCCCTGCTGGTGAACAGAAGGCATGCGGTGCCCATGTGGACTCCCACATCAAAGCACCGTGGCTGTTTTCGAGATGAAAGCCTGTCCATCCAGCCCCTCCCCCCCCCCCAATACACACATCATTTATTTTAGGTGGTTTACTGCTTTCAAAGAGAATCTTGACTGGGCTCTTCCATCAGAAACTTCTGTGATGCTCTTTAGAATGACTATTGCATTTTTATCTCTCTCAAAAAAGGTCGGTAAATGAAATCCAATAAACATTCCAGCTCGGACTTTTCACTTGTTTTGGTTTCGCTGAATTTGTGGGGGGTGACTCAAGTATATAAAGCAGCCTTTTTTTGAGACGAAAAAAAAAAGAGTCTTGTTTGTACTCGCTGAATGGAAGCATCACAGAGGACTGACCTGGAAATTCTCTGAAAGGCTATTTTGTTCAAGTACACAAAGCGTAATTTTGTTTTTGTTTTTTTTCCCCTTCCTTTTTGAACAGCGGAACAGTGAATTCTGCTTTTGCGTATTAATGTAAATGTCACCCCGTTAATCTCTATGTGGATTGGCTTCTAAGCAGCAGTTTGCGGGCTGTATACCCATCTGTTTTCTCGGGGGTAAAAGGCCGGACGGAACGGCTCTGCCGCTTCTCCCGCCTAACAGACACCCAGCCGGACGCTCATGCTATTTGCTCTGCTCCGGCAGCTCCGGCGGCTCCGGCAGTTCGGCTGTCCTTCAGGCCTCGGATGTCGTCAAGCTGTCGCCTCAAAGTTATTTTTTCTTATTTGTTTTTATGTATTTGGACTTTTTTTTTTAACCCAAAAGGATAGACTGGCCCAGTATATTGGTGAAACAGAAATCAGGTTATTAGCACAGGATTGCTGTTGATTCTACTAATACAGCAAATTAATTAGATAATACTGCATTGAAAGAAATATCCACTATTAAAGACCAGATTAAACCAGATTGTGCTCCAGGATACTGTAGAGGTGGATTTTGGGGGAATTAGATGGATAATCTGCTTCGCATAGTAAAAAGGGATGGATCTCAAATTTCTATTCTGTTCAGATGGAATAGGTCCAGAAACCAAAGGTTGGGGTTTCATTGGAGCGTAGGGCTTCTTTGGGGTTTTGGCGATAAGATGGTGCGATCCCGTCGGCAGACTGCTATGCCTGTGTAAAGGTCCTGACACCTGCCTGTGATTCTCTGGGGTCAAAACGTGCATCAGGAGGGGGGGGTCAGAAACGATCCGAATGTCTGTGTGTGTAACTCCAGTTCACTGTTTGCTGGATGTAGCCTTGAGCTTTCACACTGGCAGTGTGTACCTGCCTTCATGTTTTAAAGCTTTTATTTCAGCTCTGTGTTTGGACTTATAAATACATTCCATGAAAACTACCATTTCAATTAAAATCCATATACATTTTTTTCTCATTCTAGTTGATAACGGACAAAGAACGAAAGGTTTGCTTGAATAAAAGTAAAAAAAAAAAATCACTCTGTTCACAGCCAGACACTGTGTGCACTGGAATTAGCAGCATGAGGTACACGGTAAACATGCAAGTGACATGTTAACTCCAGACAGCATGAATGCGCGCACAGCAAAGCACATTTAATCTAGGGAGAAGGTGACGACAGCCCAGTCCCATTCATCAGCTGAGATCATTCTGCTTTACGGCAGAGGGCGACCCCTTCTGAGCTTATTGTGTCCCAGCCTGCAAACCGCTTTTTGCCGATGCAGTAAATAACAGAGAGATGCTTATGGAAGCTTTTGTCAGTGATAGAGGTCTGGCAGTCAATTCAGCCCCCCCCCCCCATTTGTCTGTTTTATTGTTGTGTAAAGCTTCCAGACTATTCTGGTTCCAGGATTTGATGTAGAAACAATGGATCACCTGAAGAAGGTTTCTGTCATTGCCTTTGGGTTTAACTGTAGCAACCACATGCTCATAAGAGACACACTAAAGATGTTAGTAAAGATCCGGCGACGCTGGCTTGGGTTACTTATGGATTTATGCAAGGATCGTAAAGGTTGGAGTCACCGTGAGGGATAATACAGAAATGTGGTTTAAAGTGTCTCATTTATATTACCAGTTAATCAGTATGCCATATTTTTAATATATTATGATTAGCAAATTGTCACAAAGCACTTTATGATTTTCGATCTAGAGGGAATCAAATGGCCGAACAGTGTAAAAAGATGGTATTGGGGAAATCTGAAAATAGCATTTCCCAGTCCCCTGTGAAGAAGCTGATTGAATACAGATGCTGGGATGTCATTTTTCTGAATGTCCAGATCGCTGATTACTTTTGCAAGCATAGTTGAAAGATTGAGCAGCAGTGACAGTGGACAGGGATGTTGGGGTGGTTCTCTGGGACTGGATTCACACTGTAGACAGGATCAGCAGATCCTGTCGTATTTAGGGCTGTTTTATACTTCTGCGTCGAGCCTATGGAGAACGTGCGGCGTAGCTTACACAAGTGACCGGTGTCGTTGCGTGCATCTGTACTTGTCCGCGGTCTGCGTCACAGTGGCACATAATTACACTTCTGTGCGCGCCGCTCTACCGCATAAGGTGCACAGCTCTGTCGTATGTGCTTTTTAGGGTGTAAGGATGCAACCAAGATCTTAATCCCAGTTAGAATAATGGAAGCTACCTTGAGTTCCTGTCGAGTCAAACATTTCAGATGATAGAGCATTACATGAAGTTGATCTTGAAGCTACGAGTGCATCCTTCTTCGGTTCATACCGATGGGCTTGAAGCAGAGTAATCAGGAGGAGCCATCTGTAATGTCCTGGGGGTTCCACATGCTCCAGTATCCTGTGATGCGGGACCTAGGCAGAGTGGGGTGGGGTCCATGCTGGACTCCCAAGCAGAGGGGGGGACAAAGCCATCAGAGCCTCCTTTCTGTATTTCTCTATTACCCAGCAGGAGAGCAGGGCCAGTGTGCCAGTCCGTTCGCACCGGAAGAAATGTGATTGCAGTTTAAATTAGAAATGGAAATTAGATTAGACAGATAGCATTTGTCTGTGATAGGAATAGATTTGCATTTCAATAAAGTAATTGTCGTTGCAGAGAAGATAGCGCAGAAGTATTCCACACTCACGGCTGGGCAATTGGGTTTTCCCCTAGAATTAATGGAAATGCAAGAAATTTGAGAATGTGTTGGCTACACATAAATGCATTAATACAGATATCAAATGGAATGCTTCGTGGTGGGTGTTTGTTTGAACTGAGGTTTGCATTTGTAAACATTAATTCTGTTCTATAGTTTGTCTGCCTGTATCAGTCCCAAACACCTATTGAATAGTTGTCTGGCTGCGGCATGATGGGAAAGGCAGAGTGTAAATATTTATGGGGGTGTTACTCTCTGTAGACCCCCACAGCCCCATGAACTGATCAGGTATGATTGACACCTGAAACGCATTCCCTTCAGTCACTGTCAGCACATTGTGGATGGATGACTTCCTCCAATTAAAGGAATGCCACCCAGTAGGGTGTTGGCGATGACTTGTCATTCCGTTTCCCGGGCGACCATCATAATTGATGCCCATGCACTTGAGGCATGACATCAGAGGAACCGTGCCACTTGGGTATGGCGGCTAAGCCACCGGAGTGAGTTTGTCACTTGAAATTATCGATCGCCTGACCTCAAGGACGTGCTTTTGCGGGGCTGCGCCGGGCTCTCCGGGATTCACCTCGAGTGACCAGAATTGCTGATGGATTCTGTAGCTTAAAGGCCCGTGACCAGGCCCATAGCTGCTCTCGAGGCCTTCATAAAGCACAATTAGAGGCATGAGATATGGGGTAGGGACATGCCTTGGTATCAGGTACTTTTTCTGGCAGTTCTTAAAGGATCCTTTTCTTTGGTGTACCTGTTGAAGTCTCTTGTTGCTCCTGGGGTTTTGTTATTGCCGTCACCTTCCTTTCCCTGTCATTGTCTTTGTATTTCCACACTTCACATCTTGATACTGAAAAAGAAAATGGACTGTGGGGTGGAAATGCAATCTGGGGGGGGAAAAATATACCAGGGGGATAAACATTTTCATTTCCCTTTGAAGATCCCTTCATTGCAACTGCTGGTCCATGACCCATCAAAGAAACGGTAGTGGTTTATCATTGGCACTGTGTTTTACATGGAATTCGGAACACTGACTTGTTGCCGTTAGTAAATGTTTGACCCCCCCCCCCCTCCCCACCTCAAGTTATCACAGCAGCCTTGGAGGTCTGTTTTGGTGCCCTAGCGTAGCGCTTGCAGAAACACACAAGCTGAAGTGTTGAGCACTCTAAACAAGCTCTTCTAACCAACAGCAGTAATTACTCAGCCGCTTTTCTGCCCCAGTCCAGGGACTGGGTAGCTCATTAATCTGGGCTGTAGATGCAGAAACATTCAATTAATCTGCTCTCGAAGGAGCGTGGTATTGCCCTCGGATGTGAGCTCTAAAATAAGTACCCTAATATCACATGACACAAGCCTGATGTCATGTGTGCTCTGAATCCCAGGTGGGAGCCTCACACAAATGACTTTTCTCTGCGATCTAGAACGCAGTCAGTTTCAAACACCCACAAATGCAGGTTCATGACAAAGGCTGTATGTGCTGACATTGGAAATCTGTCCCTCCTTGTGTTATTCCAGACATAATCCATACAGAAGCAGCTTACTGTAGCGTTTTTTCATTACTCCTTAACAAACATCCTAAGAATGATGATGTATTTTTAATTAACATCATTCTTACATTTAATCTTATGATTGCAAATTTCTTTAGAAATGTGTCAATTGTGGAAAGAATTCAGTCCCAACTCCGTCGCAGCATTGAAACATTTGTGTACACATGCCTTAGCTAAGTTCTGCGTAAAAATAGCGTTTCTTGATGCCATGTTTTTGTCTTTGTCTCTGCACAATAGGCAGTCGGAAGTGTTACTTGGTAACAGATTGGCTTCCCAGCATACAGCCATTATGTATCGATGGGTGCATTATTTAAAGTTTCCTTTTAAAATAAGATCTGCACTAAAAAAAAAACAGCTTTTAGGAGTCGTTCCTGAACTCGGATTAATTTTAGAGGTTTCTTTGGAATTTATTCGGGCTTTCGGGTTGAATACCTTTTTTCTTTTTCTTTTTAAGTGAGGGCCTTTAAGAAAGGTTCTCTGCAGGCAGCACCATTTCAATGCTGTTTTCTGTCCTCTGTCTGTCTCCAGCTACAAGCTCATACGACGGAGGGTGATCTGGCTAATTGGCCAGTGGATCTCTGTGAAGTTCAAGTCAGAGCTGCGGCCACTGCTGTATGAAGCCATCCTGGGCCTCATGCAAGACCCAGACCTCGTGGTAAGCTGCTGCCCGAAAAAGAAGCACTTTCTGTTTCGATTTATTGCCGTTTACTAAGTACCCTAATACCATATTAAGGGCAGAATGGATGCTGCAGTAATCAAATGTGCCACTTAATTCAACAGATTAAAATTACTGTAATTTTTTTCAGGGGTAAAACGAAACCGGAAAAGATCCACTGGAGAGCAGTCAGATTTTATTACGAATCTCATAAAGAGAGTCATATTTTCTACAGCAATCATGACAGAATAATTCAAAATGAAGACCGTCGAACACTGCAAAAGGCATTAACAGTTCAGGGAATATTCTGATCTCAGAGGCTCAAGGCTAGTTTGACCTTTTCTGCATGAAAATATGTCACGTTTTTAATGTGTTCCTGTATTATCCTACTCTTGAAGCTTAGGGTATGAGTATGCCAAACAATACGGATCCGTCCTAAGTTTTGCTATGATGAGTGGAATTGGATTCTCATTTGCTGACTGTCATTCCCTTTTTTATATATACCAGCGTTGTTCCACTATAATCATTGGTTCGAATAAGTACACTGATTAGAGTGTTGAAGCTTTTGTGTATGGGGGTGTACATATTTGTGCTGACACCTTTTTTTAATTTTCATTTTCCAACAATTTGTCAGCTTTTCAGCGAGGTTTTGAGTAGGTAATCCTATATCTGCACACTACATAGATGCTCCAGTATATTTTAATACAAAGTAACTAATATATTGGATGCCCCAGATTCTGTACTTTTATATTACAGCCAGTAATGCATACTTTGCAGAAAAAAAATCCCATATTTCAAAAATATTCAGAGAGACTTTATGATGAACAACTTGTAAGTAAGTCATTGTTAATGTGATAAGTGGATTGACCAGAATAAGGGTCATGGATTTTTGTTACTGTAGAGTGAGGTTACTCTAGTAAAACTAAGCTGAGTAGTCGCTTCCATCCATGCACGCACCAGACATTTACCGAAATGTAACATGGTAGGTGACTAGAAATACAATAGGGATAGAGAATGCAGTGGTTACATTCAAGGTTCAGGGAAGGTGGGAGCAGGGGGATGGAGATTCAGTTATAGATTTAGCAGGATTGCTGTGAGCATGAGTGCGGCGGCATTGCGGCCGAGGTAATGCAGAGTGCAAGACTGTAAGGAAAGTACTGACTGAGGACAGAGCACAGTACCGAATAAAGCGCATGACTGGACAAACAAATGCTGCCCAGTGGGTACTGGACAAAGACAAACTGTCAGCCAGGCACACATTCTGAAAGATAAAAGAGGAGATAGTTGACATAATAGCAATGAAATACAGCAGCATCATAGTGTAGAAATTAGTTGGTGGGGGGAGGGTTCAGGTTCAGCTCTGGCGAAAGAAGCTCTTCCTGGTTGACTGGCAGTGTATGATCCTATACCTTTTTTTCTTTTTTTCTTTACCAAACAACTGTACAGTAGACTGCTGGAGGATGGGGTGGACTTGGGTCTGTGATAATTCTGAGGAACCACCAGAAGTAGTAGTCGTGATGGATACCTGCAGTATCTGGCAGCTGTCATCCAGTGATCTTTTTGGTGCTTTACAGCTTGCTCAAGAACTTTCCAGTCAGCATGGTGTGCTGTACTCTTATGCAGTAGGACAGATGCTCCCTGTAGTCCACCACCAGTAGAAATTTCCAGGAGTTTTTGTAGCGGGAAGCCTATCTTTACCCTCCCTAAGAAATACCAAGTCTGTTGTGGCTGGCTTTTTATCCAGAGAAGGGGAATTAACAGACCATCTGAGGTCAACTGTGGTGTGAACAGGGAGCAACCTGAAGCTGCAGTCTCTCTCCCCACATCTCCATTTCAGGCGGTGGTCTCAATGAGAATTGAAGGAGGTTTGTATGATGAGTCTGACAGTCAGAAAGTCCAAACTATACATATAAAATGCTGTGTTCAGGTCCAGCTTGTGGAATTCGCAGACCAGCTTGTTGAGAATTATGTTATCGAATTCTGAGATGAAATCAATGAACAACATTCTGACATGGCTCTTGAGTGGTCTGTGTGGGTTAGAATGGTGTGGATAGCTCCTGAGATGGCATCTTGAGTTGATCTGTTTGCCCTGTAGGCAAGCCGGTGTTTGTACTTGGTGAGGGGAAGCTGGCCTTGATGTCTGCTAGGACACAACACACTTCGTTGTTATGGGAGTTAGAGAAACAGGGTGGAAATCATTTGGACTCCCAGCTCCTGTGGACTTTGGTTTGTATCGATTGTCATTGGTGGGGATGATACCCTGGCACAGCAAGAGATACTGCTGTGAAACAACTTTTAAAAAGGCATTTGAATTTTTGGTATACAATCAATTTATCATTCAAAGAAATTAAAATATTAATTATGCAAATTATCTGGCAGACCGGAAGCTCATCGCGCAGTAGCCTACACATGTTGCGCGCAAACATAAAACAACATCATGTAATCAAATGCTACCTTCAGTTTCAGGCTACATGTATCGGAAACCTTTCTCTAGAAGTGGTGTGTGTACAACAAGGATGCTACACTCTGTTTCTGCTTGATTTCACAGTGTGGGTCCAGCCGTGCTGAAGATTAATTAGCTTAGCCTTGATGGAAGCCAGCGGAGTCTGGGCTTCACACCTCATCTCGGAGCTGGGGGCTGCTCTTGCCTTTTCTTTGAATGGTTCCTGCTTGAGTTCACCTTGCTGAAGAGGCAGAGCCAGTAGAGTTCATCATATTGCAGCACACTTACTGTGGTGGTACAGCTTGGGAAATAGCCACAATTTTTAGGGACGGTTCCCAGTGTTTGTGAGGATCCTTTAAAAAGTCTTAAAATGCGGAAAAATCAGGTGTTGGTGATAAAAAGGCCTTTGAAATGTCTTTTATGAGATGTTGACTCAAGACAAATTGAATAATCTTACCTGTATGACTAAAATATCATGTATGTGTGTGTGTGTCTCTACACAAACACACACGCACACGCCGTTATGTTTGTCTGTGTGTATGTGTCTGTTCAAAATGTCCAAGGACTTTCAAAACTAGCTGGAATTGGGTTAAAGGCAGTTGATTTCCACTGAATGAGAGGCCTATGCTAGCAGTCAAGGAGTACAGCCCCAGTGGTACCGTCTGTTGGACTTCATGTTACTCTTGGGAAGTATTCCTATTTATTTATTTAAAAAAAAAATGAGGAAAAAAACAACAGGAAAAGTCCACTAAAGCTGAGCACTGCTTCAAATTCCACCACCGGATTTGAAGGATGTCAGACGAATGAAAGAACAAAATCCCGGTTTGTGCCTGTTGCCTTTTAAAAGGTCATAGCTGTAGAAGAGCATGGTCAATTCGTGTGAAATTTCCCATTCCTAAAGGTCCTTTTATTTATCTTCCCCAATACATCTCCATCTGGGGGGGGGGGAAAACCCTCCTTCCATTTTCAATTTTAAATCAAAGGTAGGTAAACAGCACTATCTGCAGAGGGGGGGGGGCGCTGGCTTTAGGTGTGAGGGTGGCGACGTGGAGCTTGTTTCTCCCAGTTAGCGTGGGTTTGCCGCACCAGACCGATGCCCCTGGGAAGGACTATTAATTCTTCACAATGTTCACTTTGGTTCCCTCTTAAAATTTCCCATCATGGATTTTCCATGAATCTTTGAAACTGGCAGCTAGTTCTGTGTAAAACCAATCCTGGTTTCCACTCCAAAAATCGACAACAGCTCCACAGATTTGTGTGATATTTGCACCTCTTGGGAGGTGTGGTAGTTCCCCATGAATTGGTTCCCCATTTTTCCCCCCTACTTTTTTTTTCTTTTTCTTTTTAAAAAAAAAAAAAAATTCACATTTCTGTGCAAATCTGTGACATAGGCTTTTCAGAGAGGACTGTGGCCTTGTGGGGTTCCTGCACAGAGCTCATATCCAGCCTGATATGCTCTCTCATTCACAACACACAGACACACAGGCGCACAATGGAATTTTGTCTTTGTCAAGGTCTTAAAAAGCCACTGACATTGAATTTGTTTTTAAAAAGTATGCAGCAGTCCTGGTTTTTCTGAGCTAGAGTATCAGCAGGCCTTGCTAATGGGCCACTATTATATTTTTTTCTTTTGGTTTGTGTTCCATAAGTTTTGTGTATGCTTATGAATTACCTGCATAATGTGAGGTAAGATGGCAATGAGGCTGCTTCAGCCAAACACACAGGTGGTGACTTTCATCTCATTGACTCGGTGCTTTTTATATTGAAATTTTGAGCTGCTCTTTCCATACGACAAAGTTTCCTCATCAAGTCTGGGGTGTGATTTGGTTTCCGTTGCAATCAGCGGTCAATAACGGTCATCAAATAAAACTGTAAAACTCGAAATCAGCTAAATGGTGAGCCCAGGAGTCGGACACATTGCCCTTCAGTAATCATTGCTGTCATACATTATAACCACCCTATTTGCCGCTGGATTTTCTTGCTGAGTCTGTGTCTGTCTCGTAGGAGGTTTTGTTACTATAGAATAGATTTGAGTCGTTCTGCCAAAGATGGAGATGTCCAGTGACACTAGTGGACCGAATGTAGTATGACAGAGTGGGACTATCACTATAGATTATATTAATTGTGTGTGTGTGTGTGTGTGTGTACTACCTTCCACTTTGCTGCCAACTTCCAATTGCACACGATGGATATCTATGACCCCATAACCCTGCATAGGACATGTTGGTACAGAAGATGGGTGGATGGATGGATATTCATGATTATTGTTTTGTTTAGTATCTAATCTCTCCCTATAATTATGTCCCTTATATGTGTGTCCCTTGTACAGTGTTGGTAGCTCAGCAATAATGCATTTCACTGCACATTGTCCTGAGTTTTATTGTGTATAGGACAAAACTTTTGACTTGAACAGGCAAACTCCACATGTGTGTTTGTGTGTGTGTGAGGGACAGAGAGAGAGACTGACTGTGTTCCGTATTATGCATGATGATGCTGCTAATTTACTGAAGGCCACATGTCTTGTAGGTACCTATAGGTGCCCTCACATTGGATGAGC